GGCCTCAACGATGAAGAAAAATTGATTTGTGGCTTTTGAAAGCAAGTTTTTGTAAAAATTTTGTAAAATTTTATTTTGAGCATGTAATTGTGTAAATGGACTTGTAATCATATGAAATTAATTGTAATATAACTGGTATGTATCAAGTCTTATATGAAAAACAATACTTTACATATTTGGGATGTTTGTGAAAAAGTTTGGAATGAATTGGAAATGAAAAATAGGTGAAACAGAAAATTCTGGGTAAAACCTTCCGGAAGGTCGATTCTAACCTTCCGGAAGGTCTTCATATTTTTTACCAAATAAGGAATCCAGTGTGTAACTTCTTTCGGAAGGTTGACACATCTTTCTTCAAGATAGGATTCCAGTAAGCAAAATCTTCTGGAAGGTTGAGAAAACCTTCTAGAAGGTCAACCTTTCGGAAGGTTTATGAAGACCTACCGGATGGTCGGTGAAAAATCTTTGAAGGAACTTTTTCAGTAAGTAAAACCTTCAGGAAGGCCGAGCAAAACCTTCCGGAAGATTTTTTAAAAATCTAAAATATTAAGAATGCATTGTCATGCTTTTGGGTTACGTGTTCTTTGGTTCCAATGACACAAATGGACCTTAAATGAGATACATTGGGGTATATTGAATCTCGATGGAATTAAATGATTAAAGAAAACACGATCCTCCTATGGGTGGTAATCCCAGTTACAGGGATGTAATAGATGTGATGCCGGAATGGGCAACAATCACGGGTAATTCCGCGAGTTGATGGGTGATCAACAGGTTAACAAAGGACCCCCGAATTTTGGGGCGTCACATTGACAATGCCAAAGAATATTTTTTCAACCCCTTTGAGACTTATTTTCATACTAAGGACATTGTGCATTAGATTTCTTGTGCGTGGTTGAGCGAAAAAATCTCCATTTTTTGGATGTTACCCGAGCACTTTTATTCTATATGCATGTTCCTCGATTTTGGGGTTATACTGATTAATCGTTTGCCCTCTACTATCTTGAATAAAAAATCTCCTCATTTTGTTTATTTTCCAGCACTCCCTTGTTTTCTGTTCCCCCAAAGTGTTTGGTTTTGTTTGCCTCCACAATCTTAGACTAGGTTTTGACAAACTTGATCCCGGTGCTACGAAGTGTATATCTTTAGATTATTCTCGTACTTGGGTGTGTTATTGTTGTTATAGCCCTATTCTTCGCAAGTGTTTTACTAGTGCTGATGTAACTTTATGTGAGACTCGAGGATCAAAATATTGCTTCAGTGTACGGTTTCAGTCAGTTCGAAAACGGAAACGTTTTAGAAATGCAATGAAAATAGAGAAAAATATGGAAACATATGAAAACACGTGGAATTATAAATAAAATCCTTTTATTTATAATAATAAGTTTAATAATTAATTGATTGAGCATGTTTATTGGGTTAACTTCCATTTATATAAGATAACATGAAGTTAGAGGGGAAAAAATGCTTGACATGAGGCAAAAATTACTTCAACTAGTTTCGTACACTTCATTTTCATCAAGTAAACATATTTTTACATAATGTTAAGACCTCATAATATAAATGAACCGCTAATGAAAGAAGAGATGAATGTTGTCCATCAAAATCATACTTGGGGTGTAGTTTCACTACCTCCTGATAAGTAGGCTGTTGGGTGTTGTCGGTTATATACTGTCAAGTTCCATCTAGATGTTTGTGGAGCGCTTGAAAGTTTGTTTGATTGCCAAGGGGTATACCCAAACTTGTGGTATGGACTCTACAGAGACTTTTTCCCTAGTGGCCGAGATCTTTTCTGTTCGGGTCTTGATTTCTCTTGTTGCTAATCTTAATTGGCGTTTATTTCTGTTGGATATTAAGAATGCCTTCTTACATGGTGACTTGGAGGAAGAAGTTTACATTGAGCAACCACCTAAGTTTGTTGCTCAGGGGGAGTATCCAGATTGTGTATGCAAATTGAAGAAAGTATTGTACGAGTTGGAATAGGTCCCACGAGCATGGTTTGAAAAGTTTTTAGAGGCAGTGTTAGATTTTGGCGTCTCATTTATGAGTTGGTAATAACCTTCTTATTGTTTACATGGATGACATTGTAATTACAACCGATGACTCGGTGGATATTGCAAAACTGAAACAATTATTGCAACATCGTTTTCATGCCAAAGATCTAGAGAAACATATGGGTATTGAGGTTCCTAAGTTTAAATAGGGCATTAATTTGTCTTAAATATGTGCTTGATCTTTTGGAGGAAACATGACTTCCAGGTGGTCGGCCAATTGGTACTCCTGTGAACCTAAATGATAAACTCTCAGTGACTGAAAATGAATGTTTTGAAGTAAGTTAGTTTATGGAAACTCCTCTAGTATCACATTGTGGCGCTGTTCTTCGTATTATTCAATACCTCAAACGAGCTCTTAGACTTAGACTGTTTTGGGCACCTTTGACTGGAAGGCATTACAGATGCAGATTGAGTAGGTTCCCCATCTGATAGGCGATCTACTACGAATTATTGTATCTTTTTAGGTGGTGATCTAGTCTCGTGAAAGCCGAGTGGAGGGCAATGACTCACACGTGAAGTGAGTTAACATGTTTGCAACATTTTCTTCAGGATATTGGTTTTCTGCACAATTTTCGCTTTAGTTATTTGGTGATAATCAAGCTGTTGTTCATATAGCCATCCTCTAATCTTGTGTTTCATGAACCATAAACACATTGAACTTGACTGTCATTTTGTCCAAGAAAAGGTGTTTTATAGAGATATTACTATGCCATATTTCCTTTTCGTGAGGCTATAGTCGTGCTGATTGAAGTTAATTTATCACCATATTCTTGGGATAAAGCCTCTACTTTGGTATTTAATTCCGTGGCTAATTTGTAATTTCAGAAACTTTAGGGGTTAGTTCTATAATTTCTGTAGGGTTGATTCTGTAAATTCAGAAACTTCTCGGGTTAGTTCTGTTATTTTAGTAACTTCTGGGGTTAGTTCTGTAATGTCCAGAACATCAGGGAAGGATTCTGGAATTTCATGAAACTTTTAGGGAACATAAGTAATTTCTGAGAGTTTGGGGCGTAGACATGTAGTTTTAGAAATGTTGGGGCTAGATGGGTTGGACTTTTTTTTGCTCTGGGCTGGGTCATTTCCACGAACGGGTTGGACAGATTGCTTTCTTTCTTGGGGTTAGAGAGGAATCTGGGTTGAGTATTGAGTCAGGTTGGCTAAATAAAGGCCCCGGTCACTTTTATAACCAGTTTGCCTTATGGGTTGTCTTATCCATGCTGCAAGTCTGCAGCCAAGTTTAAATTTTTTTTTGAACTCTAGCAACTGATCGAGAAGGCACATAGCTCTAGTACTACTTTGAGACACGAAGAGGGCTAATAGCATCAGCTAAATCTTGACGGTGGTGAAAGGGAGAAACATAGCTACTGTTGACAAGGAACAACCGAACTGTGATGGCAGTGGATGAAGAAGCTGACAATGAGGAACGTTGATGGAGGCAACTTCAGCAACTCAACATGGATAATGCTCTCCAGCTGATGATTCAAAGGGAAACTCTAGTTTCCAACTCTTCTTCTGAAACGATTGATAGACACAGTGAGGATCTGTCCTGTCTCGTGAAAGAGTCCCTCGAAACACAGCTGACGAAGATGATCCGACAATTAAGGATCCACAAAAAGCTGCGGAAATCAAAGCTATACTTTGGTGGGTACGGGAACGACAGATTGATTATTGTGATGCGGAACGGTAAAAGCACTGATCTCAATTGAGAGAATGTAGACGGAGCTGTTTCTGAAGTGTAGACTAAGCTATGATGGATTAAGATGAGTGTATACGAAGCTATGCGATCAATTTTGAGAGCGTAGACTAACCTGTGATGGATTGCACTGCACGTAGATGAAGATACATGATCGCATTTGAGAGCATAGACTAATCTACGATCTAGGAGCACGAATTTGGATATGATATAGATCCGGCGATACGAAAAAATCTTTAAAAAAAAAAAAGATATGGATACGGCTAGAATATGTCTATAATAAAATATGTTTTATATTGTCCTATTATTTTACGACTTAAAATTTTCAATTTTTAATAATTCTTTAACAATAATAAGCAAAATTAACAATTTTTACCTTGAAAAGGATGTAATATCATCTCATTATGATACATTCATAAAGTAAATGTAACCAATTAAAGGAATCAGAACCTACATTTAAGTAGTTGGTTTGCTTGTAAGTATTTATTTATGAGATTATAGTGTAACTAACTCATGTTTTATACTCTTTTGATATGTTATATTAGATAATACTTACAAAATACTCGTTTTTTCAAAGTCAAATGAAATTTTGTTGATGTTTTTTATCGTATATGCGCTCAAAAGGAGAGTATAGATTAAAATTAAAAATTTTACATCTTACTCCGTGTAGAAAAATTTGCAAAGTATTCACATTATCACATATTTTATTAATTATTGGATACGTATGATGAGTATCGATACATACCCGTCCGGTTTGAACGGTTCATATAAAATCCCCCCGGCTCACTGAGTCTTAGGCGGGTTTAATGACCGGTCCGGTCTAGCCAGATACATTTTCGTTTGGATTAAAAATATCTTGTCTTCTGCTTGGTCTTCCAAGCCGGTCATATCAGCCAACCCTTTATTGGCTAGACCATTAGGAGGGTAAAGTCCTAATCTACTATGTAGTAGTGGGCACACATCGTGCAACATTATCTATCGAAAAAACCGTTAAAAAAACATCTGCAAAGTTTGTGATATCTGCAAGTTTATTGCAAGATGTGCCAGGTTTTGATCATTTCATCACGGTAAATTTTAGCATAAACTTCATTGAACAGGTCCTGCGGTGGTTCATTTCATTTGCATCATTCTTTCTCTGACCAATGTGCATGACGTGTCTACACTGTTGATATGCTTCATTGTCAACATGTTTACCATTAATTACATATGGTTTGTTGCTTTATAGTGTGTTATTGAAAAGCTTTTATTTATGTCAGATGCCTTCTAAAAATAAAGCAAAGGGGATCTCTAAAAGGATGAAGAAGATGCAAGAGTTTGAGAAGCGGTTGCAGGAGAGAGATTTTGAGCGGGCCTTTTTTCGGGAGTTCTGGCCAGATAATATTTGATAGTTGCATCATTTCACTTGTACAATGCTTGTATATGTATTTGTTACTTTTCTGGCATTGTATTCTATATTTTTAAAGTTTGTCAATCAATCAATTGTTTTTGACCCCCAAAAATATAATCATTGTTTTGTTTTGGCTGAAATCCTAGATCTCATCTGCACACAGACGGAATTGCTTGGCTATGGCTAAGAAAGGCGACGTGGGTTAATTCATGGTTTTGACAGTTTTCTAATGGCAGTCAAAAAATCCCTAGTCTTATGGTTCCTTCAGTTATCATCCATAGCTGTAATTTGCCTTTTTTCTTTATATTCTGTTGAGGGTTTTGACTCGATTTGAAAGTATTTTTATTGAGCTACATTTCCATATTGTAGGAATTTGTACATCTTACCATTTATTTGTTCTTGGGACGATGAGTTATAAATTAATAGTAGTAGTTTCAAATAAAACTGACCCAACAGTAGAACTTCCCTTTAAATATTTTTTGGTTGTATTCATTTCTTTGTTATGTAGGTGGTATATGACTTCAAAGGAAAAATATTTAGTTATCAAACTTTTGTCCTTTTTTTGAATGTTAAGTGCTATTGTCACGCCCTATTTTTCATACAATGAGAAACGTGAGTTTAAAACCATAATGTTCATACTTAGGTTCCTCTAGGTTTTCTTAAGAGATTGTTATTTCTTTTTTGACGATACTTTAAATATGCCTAAGGTTGAGTTCGGTAATTTGAGTTGTGCTCTCCTAAATTGGGGGCCTAGTTCGCTTTGGATGTTCATGGAACTCGAGGTCAGACCTTGAGTTCCCAGCAACTGCATCTCAAGGAGGGTAGCATAGAAGACAACTGACTTTCACCAAGCATCACACTGATAGTAACGATCGCTTATTCAGGTAGAAGAATCGCAACTGACCCAACACTCTCCACAATCGTTGCGGGATAGTAGCAACCGCTACAAGGAGGAGCAATAATCACACCAAGGATCAAGCAAAGCTTAGGGTCAACTACAAATTAGGGGCATAACCCCCAGCCATACACACAAGCCACTGTTGCTAAAACAAGAATTCTTTAATATCTTTTCTTATCAATATAAGTCCTAGGAGCAAGAGACTTTCTTGAAAATGGATTAACTGAGCTTCCGAACTGATGAACTATTATAAACTCTTTGTGCATTAACTCCCACTCCATGGTCCCAAATCTTAAAGAGCCTAGGAGCTTAGATTGAATAATTTAGTGCTCATCAAATTCATATCTTTGCTCGTGCGTGTAACATACACCATCAGTTGGTGCCGTCTGTTCCTGTTAAAATTCTACTAATCTTCAGTAATTGATAGTTTTCACGCGCAACATGAGCAGAAGTTAGATGAATCCCTTTCAATTACAGAACCAACAAGAAGTTGCCACCAGAAGACAACAAAAAAACCCTTGTGATTTCCTGCCTAATCCAGAGGTTGACCCACCCACGCTAGATCCTCCTTCGAATAATGAGCTTGAAGTCTTTGTTTAGTCAATCAGTGCCTCCTCTAGCAAAATGAGGAGTTAAATCTCGTCCAACGTCCCCAGAGGGCACAACTAGCCCAGGAGGATCCCTTACAGAGGGAGCACCAACACCTTTATCCCCTGAGGGACATCACCAAGGCAGACGAGCATAGCTAGACAGTGGGTAATGCCCATCGTCGAGTTTAGAGGAACGAAGACAACGAGGAGATACAAAGCTAAATAGGGGAACTCATAAGAATGAAAATCCCCCATTCCAGTAGAAAAGGGAAGAGCAGTTCTGGGAACAACGCTTCAAAGAGATCCAATAGGAGCTTAGCCGCATGAAAGAGGCTGTGAAGGGCAAAACCCCTAAGTCCATGGACGCCTTTGTCTAGCAGAGAGAGTCTCCCTTTACTCTAGAAGTGTAACACCCCGCATTTTCTTTTATATATGTATATAGATATATAGTAAATAATTGTGATAAAAAAAATGTGGATATATGTAGTGATGTGTGTTTGAATTTGGTAGATTGAAAAAGTAGAGATTTAAAATGTTAGTGAAAATAATAGTTGAAATTTG